TTCATTTTATGCATGTTTTTGAGATTTTGTCTAGCTTGGTGTGCAGAAAGAAAAGTTGCCTGAAAACGGAAGGGATACGAACTCACGTAAGAATAATGTTCGAAGCGCCAGCCATACTGAGACCGTAGAGTATCGGCACCGCCCTTAAATTCCAAACAGCTGGTGTCCACTGGAAACTGAAAAGTGACACGGTAGTTCTACTGGATATCAGGAAACAGGTTCTTGAGCTATGACATCTTTAATGGCATCACTGACGAACTACTCAATGTATACACCATCTCGGAATGGAATCGACTAAAGAGAAACCGATGGAGGGAGAGGGGGGGGGTAGTAGAATGCGCTATCGTACTTAAAACGAGGCTGACTTTTGAGAAACAATGATTCTATTTATCTCGAATGGGAAAGGTGAAAATCTAGTGGGACTGAGACCACGATATGGAGAGAGGCAACTCAGGCATCCTTTACTGGATGTAATGGGTTGTGGGCTGAATGGCCTGGAAATTGAGAAGTCGCAGGAGCTCTTCTGACCTCTCTGCAGGTTATGAGTAGCGTGTGTGTCGATGAGAATTTCCTGAAGCACTGAATGAAAAAGTACCTTTTAAACTGTGCGAGGCACGTCTCTATCAACAGAGCGGTCGAATTTCCCTTACATTCGTCCCAGAAGAAGTCGTTCTTTCCTCCTCTGGCACACATGTCGATGATAATTTCACTGCACTCCTAAAACATTTGGCTATTAAATGGAATTATCAGCTAAAGGGTCCTTATCGAGTACGGAGGTGTTATGATCTAAGACTCCATAGCGATTCAGCCGCTGGCGACTAGTCTTGACACATTGTTCGGCTCTGTGTCAGGACATCCATGTTGCGGCGGCGCGTATATACTAGCTAATGTTTTCCGGTGTGTTGACTCGGCATACTAATGTTCAAAAGCAGCTCCCATTCAAAGATGTTCAAGAGGCAGCGGACTCACTTGCCAAGGCCAACCGAAAGCATCATCGCCAAGTCCGGCTGTGCCTGTGTCACCGCATACACTCTGGTCAATACAGTTGTACTGGAGAGTGCCGGAGTAGTTGTAGTACACATTCGCTGCATTGTACATCATTGTGGCGAGGTCTTGATCAGAGAAAGAGGTGCCACTCGCGTTCATGTACCCACAGGCTACCTAAATGTTTCCATTTTTTTCTGGTTCATATCTTCTCCAATGAAAGCCAGAAAATCTGGTCCGTTAGTCTAGAATTGCTAGTTTTCGAACGAAGGTTATGATCTCGTACTTGCACAGGCCAGCCTGGAAGTGGCTCGAGGAAACCAGTTGAATATGGGTAGTCGACCATGGCCATGTATTCTATTGCCTCCCGGAAATAGTAGTTGAGATTCCATCCATCATTCTGTGTCTTGATTAGTGATTTTTGGTCAATTTTGAATTGTGTATTCAGGAATTGACGTCCGGCATCTAAAAACAGATTCGAGATGACTAATGGCCTAGTGGTCATTTGATTATAAGTTGCGGCCGTAGCGGTCACACCTGTTCTTCAAAATACAACTGAACCCTATCTGGCTACTGGGAAGAGGGTCTTTCTCTACAAAAAGAAAAATTCCTTGCTGATCCCAGAACTTTTCCGTTGCATGCTCACCATAGCCTAGTCCATGCTTGGCGAACCAGCAGGGTAATTCTTTCTACCAACTGGTCGTTGATCGGAGTGCCTACTCCCTACTCCATCCCCGTCCCGCTTAGGTGGTATAACCTCGGGAAAATGCGAGGTAGGAGGTGGCATGTGGTGATAGGATGCCAGGTAGGAGGGAGGGACTGTCGTAGGTCGCATAAGAGGAGCAAGTTCAGGCGAGGGTCGTGCTTTGCAATGATTTTCCACAATGTGATGGTATGCCCTGATTTTCAAGTCCGGAAAGTAAAAAGACAGCGGGCTAGGCATTCAGCTTTAATCATTACTTTTCGGGTTGCTCCGCGCACCCTACTTTCTTTAAGGATCGCAGTGGCAATCGAATGCGATCTGCCCTATGTATGGCCAGCGTAATCCACTGAGCAGATGATTTTGTCCTTAAAGGCCAACCTCCGCGGCAGAGGTTTTGTGGCAAATGGTTTGACCACTGTGCGCACGGTCTGGAGGGTGAAGCTCTTGGGTCACCTTCCGCTCGGGTGAGCCAATTGTTCGATGCCTCCGGGGCCTGTTATTTAGCAGTAGACTTTTTTTAAAGGAAGGAAACGCTATGTGGTACCCCTGCTGGCCCGTGAAAAACATGATAGAGTCTTAAAGGCAAATCCCGCGATCATTCGTCATCACAGATAGTGGGCTAGTGGTATATAAAGTGGCATATAAACGAAAACGTGCTGGGTAAGTCAGTGAAGAAAAAAGCAGAAAAAACATGCCAACTGCCCTAGATAGAACCCCATTTCGATCCCATTTGTACGTGCCCATTAACTCCATCTCCAACACTACGCCCCCATCCGCACAGCTGATTCCCCGATAAGAACTCTACGACCGTACAAGTGACGATTTCATGCTTTTTCGTCCTGCAATCTCGTTTTTCACTGAAAGCCGGGCATTGGAGGCGGAGTCTGGAGGCGGAGTCACTGGAAAAAAGGAGGAACCACTGAACCTATATTGCGCTATAGCGCCCCTCCCTTGAATTTTTTGCCGCGAAACCGGTACAAGGTTGTTCGTCGCGGACCACGCTACTCTCCCGATGTTATTTTTAACTTCTATACCTGGTGGTGGGCCTTTAAAGACACATGGTACGCTCAAACACATTGAGGGTGTATGAGACTATCAGCCCCCAGCTGTCGATGTGTCGTGGTCCCCCCGCCCAAAACTGCACGGGGTCAGAGTACGGGGCCGTGGGAAAGTCGTAATTCCTTGCTACACCGCCCTCACGTTTATGCTAACACCATCCGCGCGGCGCGGTCGCGTGCAGCTCTCTTGGCTTTTTGCCAAGTCCTGTAATTGCGCTTTGGAATACAAGTACAACGCAATTTCTTTATGCGGATAACATTTTAGGTGCTGCAAAATAAGAACCGAAGATGATGACGAGGGCTAGAACTCAAGAGCAACTGTGCTGCTTCTGCAACATTCCTCAGAGGCCGCGCATTCCCACAGAACATGAAAACGGACAACATGACAATAAAACATGACAATACAAGCAAAACGCAATTTCCTAACATTTGAGGTATTGCTCATGCTTCAAAGTCCGAATAGAAGGTGATGAAGATGACAAAGGCTAGAAATGAAGAACAACGAATGTAGATGTAAATAAAACTAAGGAAATGCAAAATCGCTTGTGGGTTTTCGGATCCGGCTCGAATCCGGCTCTAATGCTATAGAAATACTTCAAACTAACGAGTGGGACGCTTAGGCCGTTTTATTTTGATGTTTTGTGGGAATGCGCGGCCTGCGAGGGCTGTTGCAGAAGCAGCACAGTTGCTCTTGAGTTCTAGCCCTCGTCATCATCTTCAGTTCTTATTTTGCAGCACCTAAAATGTTATCCGCATAAAGAAATTGCGTTGTACTTGTATTCCAAAGCGCAATTACAGGACTTGGCAAAAAGCCAAGAGAGCTGCACGCGACCGCGCCGCGCGGACGGTGTTAGTAAAAACGTGAGTTTGCAAAAACGGGCGGCGTAGCAAGGAATTACGACTTTCCCACGGTCCCGTACTCTGACCCCGTGCAGTTTTGGGCGGGGGGACCACGACACATCGACAGCTGGGGGCTGATAGTCTCATACACCCTCAATGTGTTTGAGCGTACCATGTGTCTTTAAGTGCATGCTCCAACAGGAAAGCGAATGCGCGGCGCATCGGGGTTCGATAAGACGGGATCCTTCACCCTTGAAAATGCAAACATCTCGGAAAAGAACCTTCCCACTCACCTGTCGAGGACAAGTTCAGTATGGCGTTCCAACTGTTGGCGATTATAAAGCGATTACAGCCGGAGGCCTCGTACGTTCTTGTTGTGATGGAATCGAAGGCGCCCTGATCTATGCCACCACCTTTGAAGTACAGCAGAGGTGCAGATGATGCCCAAGCGCTACAAAATAAAAATAGTTCCGACTGTAAACAGTTCACTGGGTAGTCTTACCCAGTAATCAGGTGCGGATACTTCATGCGGAACCATGCAGACAGCATTCCTCCATAGGATCCTCCGAATGCTATCACAGGTGTATCAGCAGGGTAGGTGATACCCAACGAATTGTTGGCAGTCTAAGAAACCTCATTTCACTTGTGTTCATTTCATTGAACATCACTCATTTACTTTTTATAGGCACATTTAGCGGCATTCGGATGGGCGGACTCATTCTTCTTTCTTTTTCTTCTTCACCGGGACTCGTTCTTCAAAATACGGTAGAGTGGGTGGGATGGACTAAGCTGCGTACTTCATCTGAAGGTGCGGCAGGGTTTCCAGCGGAATATTGCCGTTTTGAGATAACTTCAATCCTGTCTTCTTACAATGGACAGGAAGGCCATTGTTTCAGGCGCAAATACCACGAGAAATAAGCATCCGGCGCTATGTACAAGTGGAGTAAGCAGCCACAGCCACTACATCTTCATGGAGTGTACGCGCGTCCAGTTACAAAACTATGTTCTCAGTAGCAATTCTGCGAGGGTGTGGCATGCGTTAACAGTTATGAAAGGCGAGACAAGAGCGTCAAGCGAAGAGCCAGCTAAAAAGCTAAAAATGTTGGGAGTCGCCTCTGAGCAAAGAGGGCCTGTGCGATTTTCTCTAACTGAAGAAGTCGTCCAGAAGCTCCTTGGTTAGAGGAAGCGGTTTAAATAGTTTTTCTATGGTGTAGGGAGTCATATATGGACCATTAAAGTGGGTTTTTTAGCTCTACGGCTCTGGGAAAGTAAAAAAAAACAGCAGGCCGTAAGTTATTGGTTTGAGTCCCATGAGTTTTTTGGATTTTCCCATTATTGAATTTTTACTTTTGTAGTCTTGCATCTCTTATGGTTAGTCAAAAAGATGTCTAAAAACCCAAAAATATTTTGTTTTCCTCCCATGGAATTTGTTAAGAACTATGCACCCTGGGCTATTCAGCGCCATGCTGGCGCCAAACGGCGTCAGTGCCAGAAAAACAAGAGTGAAAGTCGTTATCAGAACATTTGATTACCCTGAGAAAGCCAAAAAATTTGACTTTCTCGAGTTATGTTAGACAATCTGGCGATAAGGGGGGTGATGTACCACATTATCATGACGGAGGTGAAGTAAGGATGGCGATTTGGTCTATGGCCAGTGTTTTCATGGCATTTCCTTCCATGCAAGCTATACACGTCAGGAGCGGTGGGCAAGTATCCTGGGTCCTGTTGAACTCCTATCAACTGAGGGTAATGTCCTCTAGCGCTGGACTATTTTCATAAGCCTCTGGACAAGACATTCAAAGTAGAAAAAATATCCAATTTCCCAATTCTATACAGTTTTTTAATATTTGAAATTGTCATAGTTACCTTCAGCTCAGTAATAAGATCGGCGTAATCAGCAAGTGCCTGTTCTGATGTCAAATATCCCATATTGTGGATGGACTGAATGGAAAGTGAAATCAGATGGGAGAAGGCTTCTACAGAGAAGGTGAAGCAGCGAGAACTTACTGCGTAAGAGTCGTTACCAAATGGTTGACTTGCGCCGTAAAACCGATGTTCAGCAAAGATGACGGCAGCGTTGTATCGAGGCGCCAAATCCCACATCATACCCTGAACAACGATCTCAGGAAGCTCTGTGAGAGTGATGGGATCTTAGTAGGACTAACAGTAGCCGTTACGAAGCCTTCGATGTTGCCCTCGTTACCCGTGTAGAAGAAGATCGGTCCTCCAGACTTGTAGAAAGTATTGTTCCATAACCATCTAAAAAATCAAGCAGAACTCTTGAAAGCAATGATACATGTGAATTTTTTTATTTTTAGCGTTGATTGCTGTAATCCCCCGTCCCTGATCAAAATGGTAGCATAAGGGGCCCTGATAAGAATATGACTCAGCGGGATTAGGTGTCAGGAAGTTGGCGTTGGGCACTACTTTACGAGCGTAATGACTCATTTTCGCAGCGGCACGGGTCGCATGTGCCGCACGTGAATGCCAAGGGCGACGTCGCTTTCGTGAGGCCACTTTAGAATGGATCTCCCGATCGGCACTATAATACAGGACAGAACTTTGTGCCTGTTCTAGCCCCATTCTCGAACACATGGTACCACATGAAGAAGATTCCCTGGAGCTGAGAAGGGGGGTGAACAGAGACTAGCGAAGATTAATGAGAAATTGTGAGGGAGAGGCTTGGAGAGACAAGTACGACTAGGAAACGAAAGTCATCTTCGTTCTGGATGAGACTTTCAAAACATTCCCACTAAATCGTATAGGCACGTCAACTTACACTACTGTTCCAATCCCATTGGCGCCCCCTTATTGTTGAAGCCTTAGAAGAAAAGGATCACTATGAGAATGACTCAATGATCCAAATCAGCCCTCCCAGACTATCAGCGTGGAATGTTCGGTTCAACTGTTTATAAAGACCAAATGAGAATCACTCACTTCATCGGAAAGGTAGTGGTGTCAGAGTAGGTGAAGTGATCCAGTTTAACGTTGAACCATTTCACAATCCATGGATTTGCTGCTGCTGCTGCGTCCGAATTCTTTTCGCTGAATCTTACGACGGGATCCAGAAATTTCCTGGCGCTAACTGCGGTTACGAGAAGGCAGACAGCTACAGCCCTTGACAGGTCCGGGAGCATCAGCTTCATTACCTGCAGTTAGAATTGTAATTGGGTATTACTAGCAGTAAAAATCGAGGTGAATATGGCGCATTATGATCTTGTAATAACTACGAAAATTTCAGCAGGCACATATAACTTTGGGGGCCAGGCGAGGGATTGGGTGGAGAGACTATTTCCGTAAAACTAGAATCATCGTTACAGAGGGGAAGAACTCTGCCTAGGCCTAAAGGAGGAAGGGGTTCCGATGGGTAGGTGAAGCCAGGTTCAAGTACCACCATTCAGTCCTTATTAAGGAGTGTCAGCTTGACAAAAGGAGCCACTCAAGTGTCTCCCACCCCGTTACCCCAGCCCCCTCTTGATGGTTATTAGCTGGCCCTCTCACTATTTACTCTTCACTATCAACTGTTCGAAATTCACTTTGGAATTCGATCGAAACTCTCCCCTTAGGTAGAGTTTCCAGACGTAGTCTAACTTCTCATGAGGAATAACGCATCAGTTGGGCGTGAAAACTTCTGGTGTCCGCACCACAATGTGCCTGTGGTACAGGCTAAATTAAGTCTCAGTTTATGCGAAAATACTAGGTGTTTTTGCTTTCTACGGGTACGATACTCATGTCCGCAGGATTAAACTGAACATAAGCGGAAAATTTCGAAAAATGGCACTTTGAAGGGTTTTGTCACCAGCAACGGCTAGGACCAGGCGACATTGGTTCCGAAAACCGTGGCCGTAACCGAGCATTTATAGCTGCTATCGTCCTAATCAGTCGGAGATGTGGAATGAGTCAGCTTTGCTTTCTACAATTTTTGATGGGTTGGTGACCGATTCATAGAGAAAACATCCAGTGGTAGAAGTCATCATGCCTAACGGGTGGCCCTCATTCCTTTGCCTCCTAGCACCGCCCCCTTCCCCTCTCCCACTGACTGCGACGATACTAACCGTAGTGCCAAGCGGATGTCGATGTTTGTGTCCGGGAGATCAAACTACCTCGGAGACAAAATTCTAGTTGCATTTACCCCTAGAGGACAACCCAATTGAAATCTGACTTGAAAGTCGACATGTGGAAAGTAAAAGGTGAATGAGCCCAGCTTGAAGAAGAAAAATTGAAAATCTGAGAAAAATATAATTGACCCAACACGAAAGGATAATGAAGACATCTTTTGTTGGAGAGACAATTATTTAATAAATGGTATTAACCATTATAAGCTATAAAGGTACTGAATTCAGGTGGGAGAAATGTTTGCAGCTCTATAGGCAAGTGAAATAATGCTGTTATGCTGAAGCTAAGGAAGTTGAAATCATGGCCGATAAGATCGGTGATAAGAGTCGGCATGAACAATGGAATACGTTGCCGGTGATACAAGGCCAATGTCAACGAAGAGGAAAAGTCATCAGAAATGACCGTCCCATAAAAATTGGGAACATGGGCATAAAAAGTCAAGGCGAAAGTGCGAACCAATAAACGGGGTATTCAATGATCGCCACAGCTGTTCCTTCTGATGACTTT